ACAGAAGAAGAGAATTGTTAGAAAGTGGTAATAGTTATTGAATATAGAATTTTCTATATAACTTATACTGATGATACATACCTTGTGTTGTTGGCAAAGTAGGTTTTTCAGTTGCTATTTAACGAAGAACAGAACAGAACATTTTAATTATATTGCCTCTTAGAAAGGTACTTTATTACATTACATATCAGAAACGAGTTGCGTGAGGTAATTTATGCTTTCTACCCTCGTTTATAACCACTGATTAAAGAATGACAAAGAGATCCCTGAAACACGCTGCAATTAAGCAATTAAGGAAAGGAGTTTTTACCCGTTTCACAGTCCCACGGTATTGAAAGTTACGAATACTGGGAATTATCATTATTTTTCTAAGAGAGTTATACCTTATCAGACATGTTATTGGGAAGACGGAATAACTGGAGATGTTGGTAGAGAATGGTGAGATCACATCATAATATATTGACATTAATGGTGTTGTTATTGAGACCATAACTTGTAGAATTCTCGCGCGCTGATTGGTCGAGAGCCGTGTTATCGATGGCGTAGGACAGACCGATGAAATGACGAATCGCTCGCGCACGGAGTCGGCGCGCGCCAGAAACGATTCTACTTTGTTTTCGGCTTTGTTAATGTAAATTAACAAATCGAAACCGCTTTTCTATGGTCTGTACGCTTATCGACAATTCAAATGACGCCAAAAATGCTCGCTACGCTCGTGGTTCCACTTGAGTTTTGATCATTTTCTGACGTCATTTTCATTGTCGATAAGCGTAAAGACCATAGAAAAGCGATTTCGATTTGTTAAATATACCTTGTACTGATGATACATACCTTYTGTTGTTGGCAAAGTAGGTTTTTCAGTTGCTATATAACGAAGACAGAACAGAACAGAACATTTTTAATATTTGCTATTAGAATGATACTTTATTAATACATTTTATAAAATTTTTGATATATAGCGCGCGCTCTGATTGGCTGACGACCGTGTTTATATCAGAGGACAGAGAGACGGCTTACCGGCAAAATTTTATTTTCACTCGAAAAATTTTATAAAAGAAATATAAAACGGCCGCTTGTGTCTMTGTCCTCTGATATAAACACGGTGGGAGTTGAAAAACACTCGAAAAGCAAGAGCAACACTCGCTACGCTCGTGTTCCTAAGCTTGCTTCTCTCGTGTTTTTCGAACTCCCACCGTGTTTATATCAGAGGACAGAGACACGTGCGCCGTTTTATATTTCTTAAATATATCAGAAAAGAGATGCTATTTAGAAAAGATATATATATATACATTATATGTCAGAAAAGAGAGGTTATTTACGCTATTCATGCTCGCTACCCAAATGATTAGAGAAGACCTACATGACAAAGAAGTTCCTTCACTTTGTTAATTAAGGAATAGATGACTACACCCGTCCCATGTATTGAAAGTGATGAATACTGGACATTATCATTTTTACTGAGAGAGGTGTATCTTATCAGACATGTTATAGGGGAGACAGAATAACTGGAGATATTGGTWGAGAATGGTAAGATCACATCATAATATATTGACATTAATGGTGTTGTTATTGAGTATAGAAGTTTCTATATACCTTATAATGATCATACATACCTTTTGTTGTTGGCAAAGTAGGTTTTTCAGTTGCTATGTAACGAAGAACAGAACAAAACATTTTAATATTTCCTCTTAAAAAAGGTACTTTATTACATGAAATATCAGAAACAAGTTGCGTGAGTGTATTTACGTTATTTATGCTTTCTACCCTCGTTTATAACCATTTATTATAGAGATGACAAAGAGGTCCCTGAAACACGTTGTAATTAAGGAAAGAAGTTTTTTTGTACTGATGATACATACCTTGTGTTGTTGGCAAAGTAGGTTTCTCCGTTGCTATGTACACGAAGTTAGTACGTTCTGCTCCAGCACATGGAACATTAGGCCCTTGATCACATGACTTGAAACTACCATCAAAGCATTGATCGGACGGACCGTCATCAGAAAATGTCGCATTGGCGTTTTTACCACTTCTACACTCAGCRTAATACTGAAGGGAAAAGTGTGAATATCCCATTTTTAACACYTTCTTGGCGCAACGACAGGCTAAGCTGTTGAAARATAACGAGTAATATATAAAATATTTGCAAGGGAGTCCTTTATGAGCGATGCAAACTGCGAGCTGGGTATGCGGTCAATTTTAAAGTACATAAAGATCGGACGCGAATATTTTATATTGCTTATATCGAATTTCAAAATAAGTTAAAGCATGCCTATTTTGCCAGAAATTTCATTAAGGTGAAATGTTATCTTTAAGACAAAAATAAATATAAAGTCGTATGCTTATCATGAAAAATCTAAGCTTTTTTGAGAATGTGAGAACTATGTTATCTGCCCCGGTATTTTACGATTTCTCGTGTCGATTCTAGGCAATTACGTACTATGCTAATATATCCAGGGGATACAATCCATGCAAAAACTCATGGAATAGATAACATACTTTACTATGCACTCTTCGCGCAACCAGTCCTTCTAGGTGTGCACATACCTCCTCATCGACTTTGCAGGTTTGTCCCAGTCAAACATATGGCCATCCCATGCTGGAATATTACGTTCCCTGTCTGTTATTATTAACCTTGGAAGTGGTCTTGGTGCAACAATGTCGTCTTTGTAGCATCCGACTTTAGTAATTTTCACCTCACAGGTCTCCAAGGACCATTCTAAAAAGATTGCGCAACGAATACTTCATATTGCGCTTGGTCGTCATACAAATGATTACAAAGACCGTAGTCAATTTTGTCAATTACGTAAATTGCATTAAAAACAACAACAACAACAACAACAATAACAAACAAACAATCAAGCAAAAAGCCCACCAAAAGCGGTCCCTATATAGGTGGTGTCCGCTCTAACTTTGCCACCTTTTACTTTAATTCAAATGATCCTCTTCCCCTTGAACATATTATCCGAACTTATTCATCGGGAAATGACATTTTGCAAAATACTAAAAGTGTTGACAAAGAAATTATTGACAGGTATCTTCTTCGGTTTGAATTTTAATGTTGGACGTTTTTGAATTTTTTCAGCGGACAAGCTGTTGCATCAAGCAAAAAGATTTACATACAACTTTTATTCTAGCATAGGATGTATTGACAAAGAGTAGCTGATATTTTAAGAACTTATACAACGAAAACTGTTGCGCCGTCACAGTGGCCATCTTGGAGGAACTTCAACAAAGGATTTCTCATTAGTATCTATTGTTCATTCCTCCAACATGGCCGCCGGGTTTTTTCTCTTTTGAATCTCATGGGAATGGGTGAAAAGGATCAATGAAAACCTCCTGGGCTACTATGCAAATCAGTTTATCGCATTTGAGACAACAGATCGCAGATCATGTACGACTCATGAATTCATCAAGAAAGCCTGGCAAACGACGATACTGCAGATTTTTGATTTGTTATTAATGGAGAAATATAGCGTTCCACTTTCTCTGTACATCGAACAATATAATCATTACCGATAATCTTCTGTGTCGCCTGCTGGTAGGCTTAATGGTTGACAAAATTTCCCGAATGTCGAATTTGCTGTGTACAGCTAATTCAGAAAATGATAAAATACTGAACATAGTGCATTAAAAGACAGAAATGCATTGTTTGGACGTTTTATCACCGTTCAAAAGGAGTTTTCATGTTTCAGAGTTACTATAATACCAGCCCTTACAGTCAAGATCTTCAATAGAAAGCAATTAAGATGAGAATTGCGGTTTTCTAAAGCAGATAACAAACGTGGAGTTTGAAAGCAACACATATATACCAATTTTAAATATTTTTCACTATTCTTTTTGAATAAGCTGTACAATCAATAAGATCATTCGACGTCCAGAAGTTGACAATTACAATACCTTGCACAGCTGACTGTTCAAGTTGGTCTGCGATCAAAAACAAAAATAAAATCAAACTYGGTACATTTAATTCAATCATAACATCTATAATTTGTACTAAGAATTTCAACACCAGATATTAAAAAAAAAAATTACAAAAAGAATTACAAATGAGAAAAAAAGAATCATCATCAATTCTATATTGGGAATTATAAAACTCATTAATATTCATAAGGCAAAACACAATAGAAATCATAGCCCATGAAGAGAGTTGTATATTACATACAGATTTCTTGTTCATTTGCATAAACTTTAACTCTGATTTTCTCGGTCAGATTGATTTTTTTTTTCAAAAGTTTCTTTAAAACCTGAGCTAGTTTACCTCAACGTTTCATAAGTMATATACAATATTCGCGGGCGATCTGTATGAGGTTTAAAACATCTCGCTTTCTGCTCGCTGTTTTAAATCCTCATACAGATCGCCCGCTCATATTGTATATATTACTTGCATTACTTTTCATTGACTTTTTATTGCAAGTCGACAAAAGCCTAAACATTGAGAATATCAGGGGTGGACCCAGACATTTTCCAGACGGGGAGAATTTACTGATCCAAATATATTTTAAAACTTTTAAATTTTTCCGAGCGTGAACTTTAAAGGATCGAGATTCCCAATATTGTGGCGTGTGTGTGTTAAAAAAAAAACACACACACAATAAGAAATTATGTACGGTCAGTTTTGAACTTTTTCGTTATCATCTTTGAAGAATTAGAGAGGGAAATTCTTTTAACAATACAATAAGAAATCTAGATGACCGGACATAAAGTGAGAAAAGGAGCGGGAAATTCCCCCTTTTCCTTCCCCTGGATCCGCCCCTGAATATTACTACTAAAATATATATTTCAATTCTATAAAATTGGTATCTTCGTTCGTTGATGAACATTATTATCCTATATCATTAATACAATGCATAAAGATTTTGCCGTCCCAGAAATATACGTCAGGTAGTCGATTTTTTTTGTAAAACTGAATCGGCTGAACAACTGTAATTTACGTTAACCGTTACATTAAACCTGCTTTTCCTGCAGGAAAATTGATGACCGTAAATTTGGTACCATTCCCAAGTCAAGGACAACGCTCGCCCTTATTAGTATGTTTCATAATTAGTCGGTTTAATACCAATGGCAATGGATCCACAAGTCGGGAAGTATTGTTCGACTACCGCAAGGCTATCGATTTAGCTATCCGCAAAAGTCTAGTGCGTGGCCTCTATCRCCATCCCAAAGTTATAATACTGAGATGGATCGCTGACTTCTTAATAGACCGAAAACAGTAGGTCAAGTTGGCGTATGACTGTTATTCTGAGTGGCGCTCTATTCCRGCAGGTGTACCACAAGGAACGAAGTTGGGCCCTTGGCTTTTTGTCAAAATGATAAATGATCTAGATGCTACTGGCGTTGACATGTGGAAGTGCGTCGACGATAACACAATCACAGAAACTGTTGGTAAAGGAAAACCAAGCAACATCCAGGGAGTGGTTGACGACCTGGCGTTAAAGTCTCGTCACGATGGTTTCCAGCTCAATGAAGAAAAATGCAAGGAAATGAGGATAAGTTTCTCCAAAGAAAAGCCCAACWTCAACAGTATA